ACCTAATCGGTTCAGCCGATGAGAAGTTATTATGTGGAAAAGATGAGTAGGTATAAGGATAATTCTTCTACTACTACTATGAAAAGTAGCGCATTCCTGATAGCTAACTTAGTTTCAAAGCCATGTATTGCTCATACTGTGAGAAATATTTTTTCTCACGGCACTTTGCCAACACTACATACATTTCCATGGAGAATCAACAAGAATCGACCAAAACTTGGCTGCTGTTCAGCTTTGATTAGTTGTCAAAACTGTCAGAAGAAGTTTTTTTAAATTTTTTAGGGTAGTTCTCATTAATGCTTTTGATAGACATCGCATTTTCCATCAAATATTATTCCAACAATTCATGATAAATAATATGATGTATTTACCAAGATGTGACGATTTTGATAAATACACCGCCAGAGACAGAGATAATGGAAGAAGCTGCGAAAGTTCTCAAGAAAAAAGTATAAATTGGCATAAACGAAAAATTTATGGAATCTATAAAAATATACAGAAATAAAATCGGAATCGGAATTCGGAAAGTGTACTTTTTTGGAATACTTTGAGTAACTAGGAAAGGCGTCTACTCTTTGGTCACAATATTCAATGTGGCATAGTGCCACATTATAAAATGAATACCAATATGTTACATTACTCGGATTCTTTGAATAAGAGCAGTTGTAGAAGAAGTAAAGTGTGCAACATGTGGGGAAAAGCACTTTTCTCACTCATGTGTTTGCATCACTCGCCCTTCAGGCTCGTTCCACAAACTTTCACACTGGTGAGAAAAGTTGAATTTTTCCCACTTGTTGCACAATATACTATTTTTCAACCCATTGTCATATTACCCGTTTTCCCGTAGAAATGAAGCATTTCCTCGCATTAAAAAGTAACCTATGTTCATCAGGAATAATGTCGGCTTCTAATGGTGAAATTATTTTTCAAAACGGTCTGGTAGTTTCGGGAAGAAAAGAAATATCGGTTCTTTTGGGCGAATATGCCTCAGTGTTCCATGCTGAAGTACTCGCAGTACTGACCTGTGACCAAGAAAACCTGATTATGAGAGGTCGTAGACCAATCACTATGCTCGGACAACAAAGCTGCAATACTGGCTTTGCAATCCAATAGGATCACAACCAATTTGGTGTCCGAGTGCAGAAAGGCATTGGAAAACCTGGGAAAATCAAGAAAAGTCAGCCTTATGTATGTCCCGGGACACTCGGGGATACCCGGAAACGAGGAGGCAGACAGACTGGCCAATATCGGTTCAGGACGGACCCCGGTTGACCGGAACCAAACTTGGGAATGCCAAACAGTCTGGCAATGTCCTCCATAGAGGGACAGCTGCAAAAGAATTTTTTTTTCCATGTTCTGGTTCCCACGAAAAGGGATATCCTGTAATGTTCAGAAAACATCGTGATAACCAAGGAAAATGAGGTAGGAATTGGTGTTCTGCTCAAATTTCTGGAGGTTATATGCCTCGGGGAACACCTCCCTTGGTGTTTCAGAGCTTCGATGTTCGTTGGATGAACGAGTCTTTGGAAAGAAATGTTCTGCGGGTCTCCAAAGTGACGGGTTAATCTCGCGGAGACTGCCAAGGGAAGAACAATTGTTGATATTTCAGAAGAGCATCGTCCATGAAAATATCTATAAAATAGAGCCAGATTGCCAACTTTTCTACGGTGTTCCAGAGAAGTGAGTGAGTTTGTGAGCGAGGCATCACCCACGAGACTAATTGACCTTTTTTGGACAGAATCCAACAGTTTTAGAGTATGTTTGGGTGCTGCATTCATAGTATGGAAACAGTATTCCAGGACAGGTCGGATCTGTGCCTTATAGATCTTAAGCAGCAGACTGGAAGTGAAATAGCTCCTGGCATGAAGCAGAAAACCAAGTTTTTGGCATGCACTTTTAGCAATTGTTCTCACGTGATTTTCCCAAGAAAGGTTATTGCTGATAGTAATACCAAGCATCGAAATGGATGTCTTCAAAGGTATGGTTACTCCTGACAAGTTTATCGGCACAGTGAGATCGGATTTTTTAGAGAAAAGGCATGCTTGTGTTTTGTACCAGTATATCACCTGACGAAGCTACTGTGTTAGCGAAACATGTTGTGTGTAAGAATTTTGTGGAAATCTGTGAAATTTTCACATGAACTTTTGAAGATCGAAATGTGAGCCCTATATTTTATGATATGAGGAGTTGAAGGTCAATTCTGGACCGTTCCCCGAATTAGGTTATTCGTCTAGGATATTCGCAAGTATTGTGTCATGGCCTGAGTCAACAATATCGATCAGAACTCGTGAAGTTGAAAACAGTAAATATTTTGTAACACCCTTTTCCATTGTAGATTCGGAAAATCGACTACAGGGGGATATATTCCAAAGAATTTACCCCTCAGGAATCTCTTTGTTCAAGAATTCGAAGAGCCAAGGGCATTTTCGAACTTAGACATTAGACAATAACTAACTATCATTGCTGTCAGGAAGCAACTTCGTCATTGAAATATCAGGTATATTATTCATCAACGAACGCATAATGATGTCTCTTAGGCTCATCACGAAGATGAAAAATCTGCGATGAACATTTTCGAAATTTTTTGGAAGAGCATACAAACTAAAAAGGGAATAATTATTTTCGAGAAAAAAAAAACGGGATAGGTCTTTTGAAACATCCAATATCACATCTTGACTTGAAAACATGCATAACCATTTAAATTGTCATACAGTTAAACAATATTTGGAAATATCAGTGGGTTCCCATTTCCTCTTCGGCGATAGCAGACTTATCTTTCATTGATAATCCCGTTCAGTGTGCTATTTTTTCATTCCTCACTCTCTGAGATACCGCGCAAAAATTGTACCAGACAAAAGTCTCCGAAAAACTATGATGTTTTCTCAGTAATAATTTATTGTGTTTGCTGAACTGACAGTTGCTCCTGTTCAGAATGTAATTCAGAACTTAACAATTCAGTGATGGAAATCTATAAATCATCAAATCGTAGCAAACCATCCATATTTCGAGCCATATTTTTCAAAGTGATCCAATTCATTTTTGAAAGAAAAAACAATAAAACTCCCAAAGTCTGTCGACCACGAAAAAATTGTTTAATAAGTAGTGTAACTAGTTTCGGTCACAGGCTATCATCAGACACAAAACTGATGTATTCGGTTCGGAAGTACCTCAACAATACATATTAAGAGCAAGAAAATTTGAATCAAAATCCTAGGTCGAATTTCACAATTTCACAATGAGGACTGATATTTGAAATTCGACCTAGGCTTCTGATTTAAATTTTCTTGCTCTTAATATGTATTGCTGAGGTACTTCTGAATACATCATTTTTGTGTCTGATGATGGCCTGTGACCGAAACTAGTAACACTACTCATTAAACATTTGTTTCGTGGTCGACAGACTTTGGGACTATCATTGCTTTTTCTTCTATAAATCATCTACTACCTGATTGGTTGACAAATCTTTAATGGCCCCAAATAGCTCCACTTTGCTGTTTCGTAAGCATTGAAAGTTTCCTCTTTGGTCGATATATTCGGAAAACCAATTAATTCAATGGAGGTCAACCAACGCATTGATTTTCGTTTACCGATACGGCAGATCATAACAGACCAAGCAAACTCACCAAACTGCTCTGCACCAGTCAGTGGCAGCGCATATCATGAAGATTTGTAGCACTAAAATTATAAAATACATTGAGGGATTGGATTGCAGATGATTGAACTGGATTCGCGAAGTTTTTTTCAAATTTCTAGGAATAATCATGACTTAATAACTAACGAACAGGAATTTATAAAAGGAAAGCATGAAAGACAGAACTTTATATGGTAGGATCAATGAAATACCTTAATCTGGTTTGGTCCTACAAAAATCTGATGGTGAATGTACGAAAGAACATTCAGAAAGAAAGGAGATTGACCAAGAAAATATGGGGTTTACCTGATGGGCAACAACATTGAAAGAATGTTGAAGTGTGATGAACACAGAACAGAAACCATTCGGAAATGTGTTCAATCTAGAGAAAATCAGTTATTTACAAGATTCTATGGTTCAGAGGTCGAGCAAAAGCCTTATGAACCTCTTTTGCGAAATGAATACCCTAGAAGTTTCTGTGGCCCTGATTGTTTATTGCTTATTTGTAGAGTATACTAGGACATATTACATGTTTTTCAGATGGTCTCTATGGAAGCTTAACTTCGAGTTGATGAATGCATGATATAACTCATTCAGTTTTTTACTGGTAGTATCAACTTGACTGTTGAAAGAGAGTTTATGGTCTACATCCAAACCTAGAAATTTATTTCGTTGTGATGTTAAAATCTCCGTGTCACAGATAGCAGATATCGAAGGTGAGATTTCTTGTTAGATTGAAATGGCTAGTGAATTCTATTAGTAGGACCTCTCTTATTCAAATTATTGATGAGATGATTTGCTCTACACCAACGATTCAAATTTTCTGTAACAATCTTGCAATTGCAATCTTGTAATTTAATTCTGTGCTATTGTTAGCATTGACAACATTGTGGTATCATCCGTACAGATAAAAGTACGTCCTTGAGTGGTGTGATTAGGCTGGTCATTGACATAAAGGATGAAGAGGGAAGGCCCCAGTACACCGCTTTGAGGTGTACCAATCCTGATATCGAGAGTATTGGTAGGATCCCTTGATGCAAACTGACGTATTTGTCATCTAACAGGGTACGGACAGATCATAGTTCCTTTCTCTTTTAATCATCAGATTTCATCAATATAAAGCTATTTGAGTAATAAAACTTTCATAATGTTGCTTCTACATGTAGAGGCCAACTTTTAACTTAAAAAATGAAGGTATTCATAAGTCGAACACTTCTGCTGTCGGCAGCAGATGGATAAAGAAATGACCTGATATCTTGTAGCAATTCCAAATGCTACGAAATCATAATCAAATATCTAGTCTCACCGATTCCTCGAGTATCTAGCCATCAAAACTTGATCACCCCGTATATACGAGCCGGCAAAAGCAGCGATCGGCAGCCCATCGACACGAGGAGCAACAAGTGGTCGCCCGGAGCGCGCACAAAGGAAGCCCTACGGCCCGTCGCGGATTGGTCCACGCTCTCTCTCTCGCACAGCATCCTTCGGGTGGTGGTGGGGCGAGACCGAGCCTAGGGCTCCTCTGCCCGTCAGTGCTCCTGCGGCCTGCGAACGAACACAGTGATACGGTGTGGCCTGCTGCGATCCCGCTCTGCTCCGGAGGGTGTCTGACTTGTACGAAACTTCGTGTGCTGGACTGCTGACCGTGAGAGGGTTCTAGATGCGCGCGTCGCGACGGCCTAGGGTCGGGCTTCGGTGATGATGTGTAGTGTCGTGTGGCGTCTGTTGTGTAGGAGCATGACCCACGGATATTTGTTGCAGTTTTTTCTGCTGCTGCTGATGCTGCTCCAGGTAAATGATCGGTAGCGGCTGGAGAAGGGTAGAGTCGAGGGGTAAATCGCGGTGGAATTCCTTGGATTTCATTGGAATTCTTTGTAATTACTTGGATTTCCTTGGAATTCCTTCGATTTCCTTGGAATTCCTTGGATTTCCTTGGGATTCCCTGAAATTCCTTGGGTGAAATGCGGTATATTCCTGGGCTACAAACAATTTGAATTTCTTGGAATTCCGTGGATTTTCTTAGAATTCCTTGGATTCTCTTGGAATTCTTTGGTTTTCCTTGGGATTCTTTGAGTGAAGTGCGGTATAATTCTGGTGTACAAACAACTGAAATTCCCGGAAATTCCTTGGATTTCCTTAGATTTCCTTGGAATTCCTTGGATTTCCTTGGATTTCCTTGGATTTCCTTGGAATTCCTTGGATTTCCTTCCAACTTCCATATAGAATGTTCCATACATGTATATTTTTCTATTCGAATCAGAACTAACAGTAGTATTTCCATTTTTATAACAATATTATTTGTCTATTTTTACTATTTTCACAGACGATGGCTTCTTGCAACGCAAAACGCTAAATATTTTCAGCTTTTTGCGTCATTTCAATTATAGATTTTGCGTTACCAATCAGAATACGAAACGTTAGCAAAACGTTTAAAGTTTGGTTGTGGACTGCGCTTGAAACAGCTGAGGAAAAAACATGAGACACAAATTTATGTTTTACAAGAGTTGAAATGTAATTTTTCTGTACCCCTTCATTGAACGAGTGCTTAGATATTTTTATTTGAAACTCTAACATTGGCGAAACACCAGAGAAATATTGGAATTTGAAGCTTCAACCGAGGGGCAAACAACTCTCATAAAAGTGTGCACCTAGGTGGACACCATATTAAAAATATTTTGTATTAAAGGTATTTGTGAGTAATGGGGGTATTTTAAAGCCGAGTACTTAAAATAATTAATGGGTATTGAAAAATATTTCATATATATTTAAAAGAAATAAAATATCTCGTTACCAGGTATTTTCATGAATAATCGCCTTTCATATCAATATATCAAATCAGTGAAAAATACATTATTTTCAAAAATGGCTCTGCTGAGTTCGCCAGAAGCCAGCAAAGCCACAGATTTCTTTTAAAAAATATGTAGCAAAAAATACCAAAATGAGATAGTTATGGAACTTAGAATCAATACTAACACTTTGCCTCATGAAATCGTCATAACATATTATGCTTTTGATAGAAATACATAATGTACAGTGGATGAAGCGTATTTTGACAAATCGTATCGTATTTTTTCTGTTCGAAACGTTGAGCAAAAAATTCGAAAAAAGGGGTAATAAATCAGACTAAAATTATGATGTTAGTATATGTTTTTGGCGACTACCAAGAGAATTTCGGAGAATTTCAGTTGGTTTTTTGGGATATCAGAATGTTTTCTTGGAAAGTCGAGAATTACACGAGAACTGTGCATTTCATGTAGAGAGAAAAACAACAAAATTATAGTTTTTATTCAATCATGATATACTACTTATACTAGGCTCCATCGCAGGTGCTTCAGGACCCCAAACTTGTCGACTAGAATATCTATACTAAAATGGAAATCAAGCTCATTTCCAATTAGTGAAATCGAGTAAAATCATAGGAGAATGCTGTATATAGATATTTTCGAACCAAACCAAATCAGGAACATGAAATAGGTATTCATGTCTCTAAATTATTTGGGAGAGAAAATCGCAAAACATAATGGAGAAATCTCAGGAGTATTGAATACACCTCCTATAATATAAATTATAATACTTTATATAATTTCAATCGAGATTTCAATTCTAATCTCAATGTTTGTTTTGCGTGTATCTATTCTCATTTGTAAATTGTTTCCGAGAATGTTTCTCCTAGTGTTTCTCATCATACCTTTTTATTGAAAAGCGTAGAAGGGGACATTTTCTTTTTCATTTTTTTCTAAATTTTCGGGCGAAAGCACCATTTGAGCAATTGAATCAACTAAATTTATTGAAAATATATTGCACATGCTACACAGATATGAACGGATATTAACAAATCAATAATTTTGATTGCCAAGAAAGAAACTTCGTCATATTTCCAAAGCTTGTTCCCTTGTCAAAAACATATCAGAATCAAAATTTCCCTGTTTTGTATACATACCTTTATGCTTTTTAGATTCAATCTTCTCGCCTCTATTGACGGGAATATAAGTATTATTTGTCACTATATGCGCTTGAACTTTGAAAAAGAAAAATACTTACAGGTGTATTGAAAAATATTAAATTTCCGATTTGGACTTCAATGGTTATTGTCTTTATTCAGAAAAGCAGGCGGATTCGGTGATTTTCCTTTTTTCATTTGTTATCCTTCCTACCTCTGATATCATTTTACTTTGCCATTTTCAGTAGGGATATGTATATCTCGGATATCTCCTTATGTTCTTTCTCCTGTTCTTTCCTCCTTACTGAGAGAGGTCTCTTTGTTTCACCTGATGTAAAATACCACAAACGCAAAGTACACTAGATACACTCGGAAGATTGTTCTTTATTTTTTGTATTTTTGTTTGAGTAAAAATTGATCTCATTGCATGTATTTTCAGTTTGAAACACAGTTTTCAATTTGGTGGATCGTTCTATCGGTGAAGTTTCCCAGATAGAAGTTGAATTGATGATCTTTTTGGAGGTGGTGGTTTTCCTTATTGAAAATTAGTTAGGTTATAACTCGGGTTATAATGATGATATCGAGGATGATATTATGGATTTTTTTCTGCGACGGAAAAAAGTTTGACATTTAATCTCTGTTGATAAGTTATAAAATGTCACTTCGCTATCTGCATGGTCACATCCAGACTTTTTTTCACTCGCGAAAACATCAACGCCGATGATAGACCAATCAAAATTGAAAGACAGCTAATGTTTTTGCGATAAGCACACGTTGTATCTGGCTTGTGATTGATCAGATTATGTATGATCAGTGAAATAGTCATTTACAATACTGGTTGAATGTGGATGCATATGATGTTATATTCTCAGTTGTATTTGAGTCATGGGAACGATATATACTTTCTTGACATTTCGCTGGCAAACAGACACGAGAAAATCATCCATTAATTCAATTTGCTCAACTTCTTTTTCTTACTTGTAGGTATATATACGTTACGAAGAGTGAGAAGAAATGTGGATAAATAGCCATTAAACGATCATCTGCAAGATCAATATAGTGTGAGGAATTTATTCAGTCTGTATGTTTGGAATAATAATTAGTACCTGATACTAGCTAAACATTTTTTATTAGCTTAGGTATTAGATAAATCAATACGATATGAGTATATCTACCTATTAGGATAACATCGAAATTTTCATGCCCTGTGGACTGCCACAGTGGGACAATATTTGAATTTCATATGCGTGTTTTTCGAGGTGTTTTTATTGAATGAGTCAGGTTGTTAGTCCGGGAAACACATACTTCCCGCTCAAGCCAGAAAAATGTTACTTTCCGCCGATCCGCGGACCGTTGCGGAAAAAAGAATGCTGTGCATCATGCGTCAATCTTCTGGTTATTTTTTTCTTTTTGTTGTGGATTAAATTGTACACGAATGATTATCGATTTAAGTGATAACGATGCGAAGGTAACGACGCTCTTTCGATTTATCAACGCCACTTCAGGATGCAAATGGGGAAAAATTACGCGTGGTTATAAATCAAAAACCCGCCAAAATCGATGATGGACCGTAAGTGGTTGTAATTTGCTCATTTGAATTCCATTTTGGCGCTGACGCTTCTCCTGTAACGGTTTTTTTATCACCCAATTATTGCACAATAATATCTGAAGGGCATGAATGCCTAATTGAACGACCCGTGATTATACACGGAGAAAAGAGATTCTTGGATTTAATAAATTCAAAGAATTCTGGTTGTTTTGTTCATTTGTATTTGTGAACAAATAATTTCTTCGTATACATTGATGATTTGGAATAAATAATTATGGAAAATCAAACCATCAGGTTTATATTTGTTTCAATCAAACATCTATTATCACTGAAGGAAATATTCTTTCAGTTTTGAATAAATATCTATAATATATATCCAAGAAAACAATTCCAATTTGAAAATTGCATTATTTTGATAAAGAGGAATATCGTTTGATTACTTATAGATTAAATCATCGATTGATTCTGATTTTGATTTCCAAATATCGACAACTCCGAGTTTATCTCGATGTTTATTGAATAAATCTCTAGATCGAGGTTTAAGATACCTTTTTGAGATAATATTTCTCTATGTATTATCAGTGACCTTAGCTCAAATGATCTTGGATGAATAAATTATTTGTTTATAAGACATTTGGATGAAAACAATGAATATTTGACCATAAGATCAGTGATCATTTGATGGAAATCACTGATTATTTGACTGAAATAATGGGATTTACTAATTCGTTGTCAGATTTTTCCTCGGGTTTTTCTTAGATCTGACTCTTTTTATTTTTTTTTTATTTATTTATTATCCTTTGAATTACGAGAGCTTGTTGTCTAATAATTTCGCCGAATGACATTGTTTATCAAAACTTCCGAGCCGTAGGCGAAAAGTTTTGGAAAAATGTCATGAGCGAAATTGAAGCAGCAAGCTGGAGTATTATGTCAATCGACGAATATATCCAGGAAAAATAGTATCACGAGCTATAATCTCTATCTGTTTCCATAGCGAAACATGAAGCTGATTTTTGAAGACAAATGACTATCCATAAGGAAAAGTTTTGAAACGATCAGACACATACTGCTTTGATTGAAAGGCTAGTAAACGTCATTGTCCACCGAAACGCATGTCTTTGATGACTACTATAATAGCGCATGGCGCATGCGTATCATGCCACCAAATCCTTATGGATATCCATTTGTTTCATATTTTTGGCTTCATCCTGGCACCCGTTATGATCCGTATTGTTTATTAATACGTATATGGTTCCTATGAGTATTCCATGATTGAGCCAATGAACGAGCGGCTTGCGACAG